CCAGCACATGTTTGCCTTGGGTGACCCTACCAGGGGCATGAAGCCTCGGACAACATAGCTTCCATGATCATTCAGGCACTGAAACCCTCCAAAACGTTAAGGTGACAGTTCAAGAACAGATATATTGTATAAGCAGCTCTGGAGGTCAAAATAAGTCAGTTGTGTGCTGTATAAAATGTTTTATTGTTTCTTTCCTTTTTTCCTTGTTGCAGCCATACGATTGTTTCAATATGGACGGACAACCCTAACTGGCTAATCCACCTGTCAGTCATTCTGATCTGAACTTCAGACTCACATCTTCATAAAGTATTAGAGAAGTGTATATTCTGGATCCCAGGCAAAAGTGGTGCAAAAATGGTAGCTACAAATAACACATTCATTATGCAGATAAATTGCAAATAGGATCAAAGGGAGAATACCTTGAAATGGTTTTCAGTCTGGACTTGATTATGGATAGAGTGTCTATGTAGAGAATGCCCACTCCTGACTCCACTCTTCATCCTCTGCCGCTGCTCCCTACTCCCTCTACTCTTAACCAGCAGTTGGCATATTCACCTGGGAGATATACAGCCACAATACCATAATGCACATCATTCGATTCAATTTGAAATCTCTGAAACAGTCAACAGTATGCTGCATGAGCCATAAGCCAAGGGGACTGTTGTACAAGGAAACCAAGGACTTCAATTTTTCCACTCTGATAATTGAACCATGCACTCACCCTATATTTATGGGCTTTGAATTATTCTGACGTCGATAGGGATGTGAATGTGGAAGTCATTGAATGTAATAGAGCCCTTTCTTTTTTAAGCACTAAATGAGTCACTGCCTGCGGAAAGAAAGAAATAGAGAGAGAGACTGGTGAGGGGAAGAAAGAGAGGGAGGAGAGGAGGAGAGAGACATATGGGGTAACAAGAGGAAGAAATTAATACAGTAAACTTGACTATTCTATGGCTTGTTGAAGGGTTTCACCCCTCATCAGGCAGTGACAACTAACACAAAATGCTGAAGCCACTGCCACTAAAACAAAACAAAAAAATATACCATTATATGAGTGTGACATTGTCTTCCAGCCCCTAAAATCTATTTCAAAATTCTTGTCCACAGATCTTCTGTCTTCCCTCAAGGCAGGTATTTATTCAAGATTCAACATTTTATTGCCATTGTAATAGAAAACCAACAAAATTATAAGCATCAAACACTGCATATTTTTTTTTAAATATTCAGTGCAAGTGGAGTTTTAACTATCACATTGTGGGGACAAAAATCTGTACATAGTCACTTCATAGGGACCAGAAATGAGGAAAATACTGCAATATTAGATCCACGACTTAGTTTTCAAGGATATGGTGAAATAAGGATGCAGTTACAGTTCAGGTTAAGATTATCCAAGTATGGTTGTGGGGAAGCTGGTCAAAGTGGTCAAAAGTAGGAGGCAGACACAAAAATGTCTATTTCACCAGAAATATTGGTAACACTTTATAATAACTACACCTTATTTAGCCTTAATAAAGCATGAACAAAGGATTAATTAAGAATGAACAAAGACTTAATAATGATTCACGCTTAGTAACTACTTAATTACTACCTTAATTAGCATTTGCACTTAATTTGCCTGTACTGTAAATAGTTTCTCATAATTATTTCATACTTAATTACTCATGGACTAACCATTTGAGCATTTATTAATCATTAGTAAGCTATGAGAGAATGATTTACTTATAATGCAATGCAATGATAATTCATGCAGCTGTTATCTGTTAGTTAAGTCTTTTTGAGAGCTTTTCTAAAGTGAAGACTAATTATCCTTTATTAAACATTTACTAAGCATGAATCATTATTAATTAAGTCTTTGTTCATTATTAATTAAGTCTTTATTGATGCTTTATTAAGGCTAAATAAGGTGTAGTTATTATAAAGTGTTACAGAAATATTTATTCTTACTTTCACCGTGGATTCGTGGAAAAAAGAAAAATTACATATTTACTAAAAAATAATTGTGCTCAAATAGAGTCAAAAGCAACAGAAATGAATGAAACAAAGGAAAAACCCACATGTACATGGCTACACTGAGGTGAACTCTTGATGGGCTAAACTGCACCAAATATATAGTTCCCCCCATACAGGAAGTACCTCCCTCTGGGTCAGTGCCAACAAACCCAGGTTAGCTCTTCTTGCCACATTACTTATTTCTAAAGTGTTTTTTTTTTTTTTTTTTTTTTTCTTACAAGAGCCTAAGTACCCTTTAAATAACAGTGCTCAAAATAAACTATAAACACTGAAATATGAAAATCAAAAAAACTAAATCCATAAAACAAAAAAGAACTAAAACAGAGTCTCCCCTTCACATGGTCTGGCCCAAAACCTCACCCCAGAGGATTAACAGGTAAGATGGTAAGTTATGTTGTTACGTGCAGGCGCATTAATTCGGATTATTAGTTGTTTTTGTTTTCTTTTGTAGTAAGTTGTAATTAGTCCTTGTTGGTATAGTTTTTGTTTATGGTTTATTTTTGTTTGACTGTGCGGAGCCTATAAATAGGGCTGGTTGCCTGTGGCGCGCTCTCTCTCTGCTCCTCCGCTCTGTGCGCCTTGCTCCGCCCAGCCCCGCTCACCTTGCGCGCTCCAGTCTCCGTGCGCGCGCCCTGAGGGTGGCCTCGCCCCTGTCAGCCAGGTGCAGGGTGGGCTCAAATGTAGCCTGTGTTAGCCGTTAGCCTTTTGTTTTGACCTGGTGGGACCGGCTGTTCTGTTTTCGCATTTCTTTTGGGTTCAGTTTGGTTTGGGTTTTTTTCTTGTTTGAGTTACAGGTGCTGGCACCGGCTTCTACGGCCCTGTACGGGGTTGGCCCGGTGTCGCACCTTTTTGTTCTGTTTGGCCGGCTCGCCAGGTCCACCTTTCTGTTTATTACTTTTCATTATTTTTTTCTGGGCACGGGAGGGTTTTTTAATTTCTTTAAAAAGGTAAAGAAAAAAAAAAGTAAATCAATTAAGAACAAACGATAAATAAAAGAAATTAAAGAGCCATATCTTGACTCCTGTGTCCTTTTTAAATATGTTGAGACCCACCTTACTTAACTTACTTAACTAAACAAAGACTAAATAAAGCGAACTTGGGATAGTAATATTTAGTTGTTTAGTTGAATATGGATAAACAGATGTAAAATGAAATTAAATGTGAATAAATAGGGATAAAGGTCCTCTTTGTCACTATGGTTATATGGTTATTATACAGTTATGGTTATATCCAGTCTCCAGGAAATGAATGTAAGACAATGTAATGTCCACATAAAGCATCCAAACCTAGTATACTAGTATGTGTGTGGGGGCTGAGGTCAGGGTTTCAAAAGCCAAGAAAATATTTGAATTGACCTGTATTTTGGGAGCATGCTTTCACTTTTCACTGTGGTCAAAAGGTCAAAATTAAAGGTAACATTGCAATTCCAATCCAGATTGAACATACTTTTAATGAACCATGGCAACTTTTTGATTGAATATTTTAAGAAAACTTTATGCTGCAATTTGCTAAGGTCATAAGTCAACTGTCTTTTTCACAGCAATGAACAAAAAAAATAAAAATCAAGTTGAAGACATTTGTAATATTGACTTATTATGTTAAAATACATTGATTATGGATTGTGCGTGAACATTTTGTCTCAGCAAATTTGATATTTTTAATCAAATAACCTATGGACCTACAGCAGCAGACAAACTAATGAACTAACGCATGAACTAATTTACCGTTATTCTGAGTGTTACAAAGCATTTTAGTTGTTTAGTGTATTTTAGTGAAGCTGCTATATTTATTGATACTAGAAATGTTACAATTCAGGCAGAGCAGTGTTTTTAACTAAGATTAAAAAAATCTACGTTCACTCTAAGCCAGGACCCAGAGTACTCCTCTACTGGTCAGAAGGTCAAAATTTCATACCAATGAGAAGTATTATGCAGGATCAATTTCTAACTTGTTCTATAAAACCAAAAATAAGAAAACAAAAAAACAGATAACAATTAGTTTTTTCAGTTTTGATTTTGTGTTTAAATGAATAATGGAAAAAAGGGATAACAGCCAACCAGGTCTAAACCAGGACTGAGACCAGACCATTTTCTGAACTCTGCACAGATGTTTCTGTACACTATGCCCGCCACTTGGTTATGTCACTCCATGTTTGTTTCCCTGCAACATCTTACACCTGCAATTCTGTGCTGGACTGTCTCAGGAGCCTCTTTGCACAGTCTACACCGTGGGTCTTGTCTGGTGTGGTAGATCTGGGCCTCTATTGCTCGAATGCTCAGGGCCTGCTCCTGAGCAGCCAGGATGAGTGCCTGTGTGTCTTTCAGACCAGCCCTCTCAAGCCATTTGTAACGCGTAGTTGGCTAGGTGGTCTGACTGCAATATAAGTTGTTCAGAAGTAGATTAGCTGAAGAGCCATAGGGTAAGTGAATGAAAGAGCGGACACACATTAAAGTTTATATGATAAATTGTATAATATTTTCTTAAGTTGGCAATAATAATGATAATAATAATATAATATAAACGTATTTATGCATTTGATATATATATGTATTATAAATAGGACAGATATGATATAATAAACAAAACAAAACAAAAACAACCAAACAAACAACTTCAGTTAATTTGAGAGTCCTGTGAGATCGTATATTGTCTTTTGGGGGGTTTAGTCCACTAGTCGTATTGACTGAGATTCAAAGCTCTTAAAAGTTTTTCTTGAAGTTTAGATCCAGCAAAATAGAGGAATATATATATATATATATATATATATATATATATATATATATATATATATATATATATATATATATATACCGACAACAGATACGGGAAAAACAATGGACATCTCAGTCCAGAAAAGTGCAGTACTGGGAACAGCAGAACTCTCAAGCTCCCAGGCCTCTGGTAGAGGACCCGAGCTCAATGAGGGTGAGAGAGACCTACCACCGTGGAAGGTGAGAAACACATTTTTTTTTTTTTTTTCAATCTCCTACCACAAGGTGAAGTATTCACAGCTCTCCATCATAGACTCACGGCTGAGGTGTTGAAGTTGAGTGGTTGTCCCAAAGGGAAGGAAAAAAAAACCTGACCGCTGACTGGAGGGTTGAACGCTTTGAAGTAAAAGTAGAAATAGTAGTAGTAGAGGTTGATATCTCGAGCGATCACGGAGCACGCCGACTCCAGAGCACGACCAGCACACAGCCACAGTGAACGGTAGCAGGAAGCATCAGAGCAGGAAGTGGTGAGAGGCACTCTGGGTAATATGGCGTTTCGGGCTTATTGGTGGGCGCGGTCACAGGAGGTGGGCACTTTTACTTGCGTGGGTTACACATTGGTAGGATTTCTTGATATCAGTCACTTCAGTTATGTTCCGGTGGTACGCCCCGTGTAGGGGCTTGTCCTGCCATGATGGTCCCTCCAGCATCTCTTCCTCTGGACCCCACTGTCTGAGACATTCTCTGAGCACCTCATCTGTCGGGGCCTTTTCCTTGATGTATTCATGGAGCTTGGATGTTTCATCCTGGATAGTGGTTCCCAAACTCACTAGTCCTCGGCCTCCTTCCTTTCAGCTCGCGTACAGTCTCAAGGTGCTGGATTTGGGATGGACCCTCCATGCAGGTCAGGAGCTTTTGTGTCTTAACATCTGTGGTCTGTATCTCCTCCTTTGGCCAGTACATGATTCCCTCTTGGTATCTGATTGCTGGCAGTTCAATGGCCATTCTTGCCATTGTTTGGGGTTAAGCCTCGCTTCCATGCAGCATTTAATTATTATTATGAAATGTGATATGGCACTTACAGATCTTCAGAGATGGTTAAATGCTTTTTGTTATCAAAAACCCAATCCAATATGTCTTTGAAAGATAAAATATTTTATTTACTTGGATTTCAACCACAGGGAACCCACATAACCCTTACATTCTCAAAGAAAATGGTCACTTGACCTCCTTAAAGCTTTGGAGTTTAGAAAAAATAGTTGTTCAACATTACAAAATGGATAATTAAGCAAATTAGACTATAAGAAAGGGATTATGCAGTTGTGTTTCATATAGTCCATTTTGTGACATGTGCTGTTCTCAGCTCCAGTGTTGAATGAGACTTGGTTCCATATCCAGAAATATTAGTCTTGGGGGTGTTACTAATCTGGCAAAGTTTCATGCTTGTACCATAAAAGCAAACTATTTTGGTCCTTAACAGCTCCACTATCGGCCATTAGTGGCACTGAGGGCAAATTGGGTGGGGGCCCTAGGCAGCCACCTACTTTTGTCTACTGGTAGCGCCACCTCTGTTCATAACCCTAACCGTAGCCTATCCTATATTTGCTCAGCCTTAATTAGTACCCTAACCCCAAGCCTGAATCATTCTTAATAACTATTTGTTAATTATAACGTATGTTATGCTAATTAAAGTGTAACCAACAACTAATTTTAAAAGAAATTAAGAAAACATAATAACTTAAACTACTGTTAAAATCTTTACTATTTTCAGTCTTTAAATATATCTTTAAAGGACCTATATTACGCTATTTCCTGATGATTATATTTTTACAAGCCCCGTATCTTCTCTCAGACAGAAAACACTCCACCTTCTTCTCCAATGTGTTTTTAAACTCCTCATGCCTCCACTAGAATCATTTGAATCACTTCAGCTCTGGAATGTCCTATTTCTACAAGAAGGTACAAGGTGGAGCATTTTGAGAGATGTAAACAGACTAATAAAGCTCAAACATGTGTGAAGGAAGTCCATTTTGAGAATAGGACCTTTAATGTCAACAGTGTTGTTAATAACTATTTGACCCTTGATAAGACATGTACAACAGGTAACATTTCTGTAACTCTAGAGACACAGTTTGAGCACTCTATAAGACTTTATCTATTTGACAGATTTCTAGGCTGGTGGTCTGCAGGTAAGTTTTTGTTTGGTAGGTTTGAACATTTTTAAAAGTTTACTTCGACATTTCTCCAGCAGAGATATATTTTCAGGCCACTGGAACAATCCTCCTGACAGTTATATGAGGGCTGGGTGTATTTGTCCAGGCTGTCCACATAATTCATTTAGTGGTAATAGTATTAAAAACATGACACTGTCCCAAGTGGAGGAGTTCAAATATTTCAGGCTCTTGTTCACATGAGATTGACAGGTGGATTGATGCAGTGTTTGTAGTGATGCGGTAGCTGTATTCGACCATTTTGGTGAAGAAGAAGCTGAGTCGAAAGGCAAAGCTCTTGATTTACCCGTCAATCTACGTCCCTACCCTCAACTATGGTCATAATACAAACTGCCAAAATGAGTTTCCTCCACTGGGTGCTCCTTTAGAGATAGAGTGAGCAGTTCTGACACATGAGTGGAGCTCAGAGTAGAGACGAGATAGTTTTAGCACTCATGTAACACAATTATTCCATGGCTCTTTTGTTTGCTTTTTACTTTTGCCAGACTAGCTTTTTAATGTTCAATCCTGAGATCTATACAGCAAACTTAAACACAGGTCAATAAAGCAATTCCTAAACACTGGATTTGTTATTTAGTAAATTAGTCAGTGGTAGTGCTATTATACAAAGCAAAGATACAGCTATTTTTTAGCCTGATGTATTTGAGAAATCCAGGGTCCAATATTGGCATGTAGACTCAAGGAATTGTGCCATTTTGTTATAAAATTATTTCCTATGTGCAGGCTTGAGACATTTGGCTACAGTGAGTTCTGGAGCTAATGTGTCGAGAGGACAGAGAGAGATTTTTATAGATGTCATTCCAGCGTTTGTACAAAAATCTGCTAACTTTTGTTGTTCACTAGCCTGATTCATCAGCCGGTTTCACTTCGTAGGCTTTGCAGTGTTAGAATTCGTTCACACAATGGGAGGTGGGTACTTTTTATCCTTTAACCAATCACTGCTATTTAGCAGTCACATATGTAATGTGCCGCTAACAGGGCTAACTGATATATTAAGCTTTTCCCAAATCCTGTAGGAAGAAGGGCAATGACGTCTTTCCCCTTGATAAAATTCACGAAACATTCTCTTTATACAGGGTTTAAATCCTTGATCTCGGGAATCATTGACAACACAGAATATATGGCTCTTTGCTGATTGGCTGGTGCCCGAATTTGCACTTCCAGGGTTTTTGCAAACCGTCTACTGTAATTTGATTCCTGACCTAGTTGCTGGAGAGAAATGAAATTGAGTGGAGGCACTAGATGGCGCCAGCCTGGCTAGTTTTTCACTGCAACATTTTGAACATTTGACCATTTCAAAAGTAATCACTCAACCTGCAACTTCTGTGATCACTTTGAAACAACAACAAAAAGTATACATATCTATAGTCTAATTATTCATAACATGTATGCCCTGTTTACTTGGTGTTACATGCTGGTTAGAAAATGGTTACATCCATAATGAATAATGAATCAGCAGTACCATAAATTCCGGACTATAAGCAGCTACTTTTTTCTCACACTTTGAACCCTGTGGCTAATAAAACGATGTAGCTAATATATGGACAGATTATTTGTTTGGCACATTGTTCATTCATATATACGTCTGTGGTTTGGCAACACAGGGATGCGCACAGCCTGAGTGCAGAAGACGCCCTGTCTGTGCAGTTATTTAGGATTAACATGAAGTTGCTACACTAGCTAGCGATAATGTCAGTGCTCTCAAATAGTTTAGCGTGTGTGATAAAATAAGTTATGATCGTAAATTAACAATAGTGAGGGGGATACGTCTTACTTGTATGCATAAATGACAAAAAGAAATGTTTCAAACTTCAGTAGCCGGACATCCACTCATACGTGATTGATAGAACCAGCTCCGCTCCGAGAGAGTCTGAAATCTGCTGAAATCCTACGAGAAACTGACATGATCCAGACAGGACAGCAGTTCTTTCTGCAGGAGACATGCGCCGTAGAGCTCAGGGAGAGACGGGGGTGAGGGGCCGAGGAAGATGCTCATTTGATTGTGTTTTGAATTGTTATTTTGCTTTTCATACACACACCCTCCTCATGGAAAACACACGAACAAATGCAGATGATGCAGCTTAAGTTAAGAGCAATTGATGTGACTGTTGAAGAAGGAAATCAAGCTGCTGCACGTGAGCTCGGCATCAGTGAGTCGATGGTGAGACATTGGCAACGGCAGAGTGATGAATTGACTCAATGCAAAAAGACGACAAAACCTTTCAGAGGCGATAAAAGCAGACGGCCAGAACTTGAAAATGTTCTTGAAGATGTAGACACATGTGGCTTATATTCAGGTGCAGCCTATATGTGTACAATTAAAAATTTTGTTGATGCAGCTTATATTCAGGTGTGCTCAGTAGTGCAGAAAATACGGCATTTCATTGTATGGAACTAAGGGCATCTAAATCATTTTAAACAACATTGTAATATTGTATTTTTCAGTTTTATGAGAGTTACGCAAGATATATAAAATAGACGAAAGTGCATGGAACCTCATTCAGATTACAGCAAGAAAGTACTGAGACATATGATTCAAGACACATGTGCGTATCGAGGTCCTCACCAGGCTCTGAGTGCTGCGCTGCTCAGGGTTAGCTTTGTTCCTTACCGAGTTACCTGAAAACTGCAAAGGACTATAGTCATTACATTACCTGAAGTGAAGTACTGAGGTCATCAATGGGAACAATATAGAAATCAAACAAGTGTATCCAGCATGGGGAATGACTTAAGAGAGGCGTGTATGCACTGAGGAGCAGATAGAACTGAGGAGTAAAATGGTGGCAGTGTAAGATATGTCCATTTTCTCTTTTGAAACAGATTTCTGAGCATCATATTTTGTGTTAGGTTATTTAACATGTTGTTGCCTTGCTTGATAGTTGTTTTAAGACATTCACTTTTTTTTTTATCGGTTTGGACTTCCAAACACTACTGTAGTTCAAAGAACTCTTATAATAATGGACACATTTTCACTTTTCTGTGCAGATTTCTTTAGTGCATGTAAATCCACAGGTTATCTGTTTACTCCAGTTATATTTTAGAACCTGATTATCATAGTTTTCATTCAGTATTTCAATATATTCAATATATTTTGCATATCTTCTAAAATTATAGGTGTGTCATTTTGCTTTTTGCTCAAAATGAGTGAAAGAAAAGGAAAATTCTCTATGTTTATGTAAATATGCACCTTCTCTGACCTTGCCATTTTAGGTTTGACTTGTTTAAGACTGTACTATGGAGAGTCAATGATAGTGTTGT